AATTGGTTCAAAAATAAAAGTTGAGGGACCAATTCAGGTATTTAACCTAAAAAATATGTTAGCCACGTCAGCATCACTATTCAATTAATCCTTAAATAGAAAAAGTTGAAAGTTGAAAATTGACATCCTTATTTAGAAACTGACAAAATTAACATTCTTATTTAGAAAAAATTGAAAGTTGATATCCTTATTTAGAAACTAATAAAGTTAGCATCCTTAAATAGAAAAAAGTGTAAAGTTGGAATCCTTATTTTCACCTTTACTCCTCAATTTAAGGATTTAAATTTGAATGGAGCTAATCAAGTCAAAAAAGTAGTTGTTATGAGTATTCCTAAATCTCTCTTCTACGCAAACTTTTCTAGTCAGTTAATGTTGTCAGCTTAAGTCTTCTTATTAGACGGTTCATGTATATGCATTCACTTGAAAAGTCATTGCAAATTTTTTCAATCAATCTGTTAATTAGTGACAAAGCCAATGTAGTATAGAACGGGGGGCAGTGGCCCCTGGACTTTTGAATAATACCAAATATAGAACTATATTTTTGTTTCTTATAAAATTTTATTTTTGAAGTTTGAATTATAGGGAAAATATAAAAAAAATATTTAGGATTTAAGTGAAGGGATCACTTCTCTCTTGTGACTAATGCTTATAAAGACACATTAATTTTATCTAGGTAAGAACAACTATTTCCTCTTAAAGGTGGTGAGTTTGACTTGTTAAAACCATTTATACTTAAATAACAATAGAGAAATTTAAACCTATATCTTTAGCATGGTTCACTTCACTCCTTACCATTTAACCCAACGATTCAAACTTTGCAACAATTAACTCTCTTTGTACCCAATAAAAAAAAAAAAAAAGAAGAGTTTAACTCTTATATGTTCACAATTAAGTGAGGAAAATGATTCACACACAATATATACTTATAATGAAATATTATAATCTTAAGTGACAAGGACTATAATTACGATAAAGTCTTTTCATTTAGTGTGACAAAGAGAATCTATATTCATCCTCTTGGTTTGATTCCATGTGTTTATCATAAGATTTCACTTCAAGAAATATTGTCATGAATTGATTTTGATTGAATAAAACATTACAAATTAATAATGAAAAAGGTGAAAATATTTCAAGAGAAATTGGTGACATGTTACTCATAACTCTATACATACACTTATGAATCAATGAAATCAAGGAGAGAATTAAGGAAATATTTTAGAGCATTGAAAATCAATTAAGGGGATGATGATGATTGATGGCTGAATCTTCTTACTGTGGAAACTTGTACTTGACTCTTATGGTCATTGATAGAATTAAGTCTAGATTTTGCTGATTTAGATTATCTCTGGTTAATAAATAATCAACTTTTATGAGAGTTGTTGGGTGAAACTTGTAAAAAATAATACAAATAGAAATTTCAATGGTGTGAGTGTGACTTTGGTACCGAATTTTCTTGCAGTGTAAACTTGTAATTAGCTCTTATTATCATTCATAGAATTAAGGCTTGATTTCACTGATTTAATTTTTGTGTCTAGTCAATAAGTAATGGTCTTTTCTAAGAGTTGTTGGATGAAACTTGTAAAAAATAATACAAATTAAAATTTCAATGGTGTGAGTGTAACTTTAGTGCGCTTCTAATAACACAGGACCGGAGGAAAAGGAATGAAAAAGGGATGCAGAGAAAGAAGTAACATTAAGAAAATGATGGCTTAAATGACCCATTTCATTCTAACATTAAAGATATTTCATCAGATGAAACTAATATAGTTAAAATTAATTAAAGAGTATAATAGGAATGTAAAAACGAGAAAACAATGGGTGTGAGCAGTCCTTAAAATTACTTCATTTCAATGGAGAACGATAAATAATCTTAAGTAGATGATAGCAGTGCTTCACCTAAAAATAAACAGAGCTATATCTTGTTTTTCTTTGGTTTTTTCCATCCCACATTTCCCTTTCTCGAAAGTAGTGGGCCACTGTTTTGCTCTCATTAGAAGTTTCAAGAGCCTGACATTAATAACCCAACAGTAATGTCTATCGTGCTATCTTGTTTTTTCTTTGCTTTTTCACATCCTCACATTTCCCTTTGTCTAAAAAAAGAAAAGAAAAGAAAAGTAAGCAAGGAACAAAGAATTAGGCTACAGTTTAGGTCTCATAAGGAGTTTCAAGAGCCTAACGTGACATAGTAACCAATTGATGGTTCGGCAGTGTTTGCCGTGCTCTCCATGTACCTGTTAAATTTCCACCAACCGGAGCTTTCCAATAGAACCACTGTCAAAGAATTCATGGTGGCTTCCGTAGTGTATTTCCTAGGAGAGAATCTTTGAGCATAAAAGTGAAATTAACGGAAAAAAAGTTGAAAACTGCCGTGCTTTCCATGTACTCGTTGATTTTCCACCAACTGGAGCTTCCCAATAGAACCACTGTCAAAGAATTCATGGCGATTTTCAAACTTAATTAATTTAAAATTGAATTATATTGAATTTTATAAAAAAAAATTTATTTATTTTTTTATTTATAAAACTTGATTTTAAAACCTTATTTAAAAAAATTGAGCTCTTTTGACTTAAACCAACAAGTCGTTGGTCTCTCCATTTTAATTTACTTGTTACCCTTTTGCGTTTGCTTAATAATATTATTAAGTTCTTTTACTCCTTCCAATATGATTTAATTCTTTTACTTTTTATTTAATGAAAAGTTAAAAGTAATGATGCATTTATTACATATATTTACTATTAATTTATATAAAAAATAAAAGTTGATTCTATTTTTATTAACAGTTCAAATAAATTATTGCACATGATATTAGTGTTAAGAATAAATTTTATTTTTATAATTTTTCATATAAATTATAGTAAAAAGGTACCGTAAATATATCCTTAATCTATACCTTAGAAAAACCAAACATTAAATCCTAATATTTTAATTTTACACTTATCTCAAAAGAGACAAAAATGCCTTACGATTTTTTTTGCATAATTGTAAGCAAAAGGTGAAAATGAAAAGATTAATCATAATTATTGTAATGAATTAGTTTTTTATTATTATGAATGGATAAAATGAAACAATTAAATCAAATCAAAAGAGTATTACAATTCATAAAAACATAATTATTACTTGGTAATTTTTTGATTTTAAAAGGAGGATTCAATTAATAAATGAAGTTTAGAAGTGTGAAATATTAATAGTAAAATTCAAAAAATTAAATAAATTTTAATATTTTATTTAAAATAAAAATTCATAAGAAAATTGAAACAATTCTTTTTTAGAAAATGCCAGTATGACAAATAAATTACAATAAATTAAGTAATTTAGTTAACCGCTTGCTGTCTTCTCGCTTACTTTATTTTCAACAAGTGTCTAAGAAGGCAAGAATTAATCGTCGCCTTTTATTGTTTAGGAAGGTGGGGTGCTTTATTTGCAAAATATTTAACAAAAGCAAATGATGAAGCAAAAAAAGTTAAAAATGTTAAAATTTATTTATCTCTTTTCTTAGGACCGATTCTTTGAGCATTAAGATAAAATTAAAAATGATGAAATATTGGTCGTGATGTCCCACATGTTTCGTCCTATTTAACTCATTTACGTGTATAAAATATCTGTTATTGCAAGAGCATGCATTGAACCCCCAAGGCATTCTAAATCATTGGTATTATGGCATCACCTTTGTTCTTCCTCCTGCTTCTTCAGTCTTTTCTTGTTTCCACTTCTGCTTTTTCCACCACTTCTTTACTTAATCAAACAGAAACTCTTTTCAAATGGAAAGCCAGTCTTGACAACCAAAGCAAAAGCTTCCTCTCTTCTTGGATTGGGGACAACCCCTGCAATTGGGTTGGAATCGCTTGTGATAGAGTTGGAAGCGTCACCAACATAAGCCTTTCAAATTTTGGTCTCAAAGGTACACTTGCCAACCTTAACTTCTTGGCCTTCCCCAACCTAATTCACTTTGATCTTGGTGATAATTCACTTTATGGGGTCATTCCTTCCGACATCGCTAACTTGTCCAAACTTACTTTTTTCAATTTGTCTGGGAATGATAATATTTCTGGAAATATTCCCAAGGATATAGGAAGGTTGAGTTCGCTTGCTGTACTCGATCTTGCTTGGAACCAACTTAGTGGTTCACTTCCCGTTTCTGTAGGAAATTTAAGCAGTTTGTCTTACCTTGCAATCACTGGCAACAACCTCAACGGTTCCTTGCCTCAAGAAGTTGGAATGATGAGATCACTTCTTGTGCTTCATTTAGCCTCGAATTCCTTTATTGGTCCAATCCCTGCATCAATAGGAAATTTAAGCAATTGTCAAAATCTTTACCTCTTTGAAAATGAGCTATCTGGTTCTATTCCAACAGACATAGGAAGGATGAGTTCACTTAAGCAACTTCACCTTCAAGGCAATACGCTCAGTGGTTCTATACCTCAAGAAGTTAGGATGATAAGATATCTTATTTTGCTTGATTTTTCCAATAACGCCCTAACTGGTATGATACCGAAAGCAATGGGAAATTTTAGCCATTTAAGACATCTTTACCTTTATGGAAATGAGCTCTCTGGTTCTATTCCTAGTGAAATAGGAATGATTCAATCACTTCTCGACTTGCAGTTGTTAGGAAATAATCTCAAAGGTGTTATACCGACTTCCATAGGAAACCTAACCAGTTTAGTCTCTCTTCTTCTCTTTGATAACATGCTTTCTGGTCCAATCCCAGTTTCTTTAGGAAGTCTAACCAGTTTAAACAGTCTTTCTCTCTTTGATAACAAGATATCTGGTAGGATACCTCCTGAGCTAGCTCAAGCCACTCAATTGACTGAGCTTGACCTCTCTTTAAATCAACTGAGTGGGGAGATTCCGAAGGAAATAAGCAAGCTGACAACCATGGTTTATCTCTTGCTAAATGACAACCAACTCTTTGGCAGAATCCCACCAGAGATAGGAAACCTACTTAATCTGCAACATCTTAGCTTGGCAAAGAACAATCTAGTTGGACCAATTCCAAAACAACTTGGGAATTGCTTCAGGTTATTACACTTGGACCTGAGCAACAATCTAATTGAGGAAAGTATTCCATCAGAAATAAGCAAAATATTTGCCCTTGAAACTCTTGATTTGAGTTGGAATAATTTAACAGGACAGATTCCACAAGAGCTTGGAGGATCACGTGTGTTGGAAATGCTGAATCTTTCTCATAATATGCTCTCCGGTTCCATTCCCCCTACTTTTGATGAATTGAAGAGCTTAACATATGTTAACATCTCTTATAATCAGTTAGAGGGCCCTATCCCGCCTATTAAAGCTTTCCTTCTTGCCCCATTTGATGCTCTTAAAAACAATAAAGGCCTCTGCGGCAATGCCATCGGCCTCCTGCATTGTGTCTCTGAAGGTCAGAAGAAAAGCACCAGCGGACTAGTGGTTTTAATCATTACGCCAGTTTTGGGTGTTCTATCCCTGTTATTTATCTTGGTGGGAGTGTTTACTTCTTATTCGCTGCAAAATCTGAGATAAAAGAGTGCCAACTTCAAGATATTTTTGCCATATGGGGATATGATGGGAAAATCCTCTATGAAAACATTCTTGAAGCTACGGGCAATTCAACTCCAACTATTGCCTTGGCTCAAGAGGATATGGGAATATTTACAAAGCTGCTTTGACAACAGGCCGAGCTGTTGCAATGAAGAAACTTAACCCATCAGATGACAATCAATCGATCAATTTGCAAGCATTCGAAAGTGAGATTCCTGCTTTAGCGGACAGACGACATCATAACATTGTCAAATTGTATGGTTTTTGTTCTAATGTAGAGTATTCATTCTTAATCTATGGTTTTTGTTCTAATGCAGAGTACTCATTCTTAATCTATGAGTTTGTAGAAAGGTGGAGCTTGAGGACAATTTTGAGCAACCCAGAAGAAGCAGCAGAATTGGATTGGGATAAGAGATTGAACATTGCTAAAGGGTTAGTGAGTGCTTTATCTTACATGCACCATGATTGTCCTTCACCAATAATCCATTGTGAAATTTCTAGCAACAATGTTTTGTTAGATTTGGATTATGAAGCTCATGTCTAGGACTTCAGAAGTGAAATAGGTCATTTAATAATGTTAGTTCTTTCTCCACATCTTTCTTCATTTATGTCTCCTCTGGTTTACTGTTATTGACCCATTTGATATTCCATGCTGATCACCAGTTGTTCGTTTCCGTTTTTGCATTTAATAATTTGTTTGTTATAGCAGTAGATTAAGTAATAATGTCACCATAACGCACTTATACCGGCCAGCAACATTAGCTGTACCAATTTGCGAAGACTATTCAAGTGAAGACAAAAAATCTGTAAGAATGTGTGGCTGTATGCAAAATGAATGTGTTCTGTCCTACAAGAAGACTTAAGCTAGAAAGGTTGACGTGAACTGAAATTGAAAGATCTAGGTGCAATAACTATAACTGACACTGAAAAGAAGACTTAAGGTCACCCTAATGGGCTCAACCCGGCTATAATGGCTAAATAAATTTGCAAAAACTATTCAAGTCAAGATAAAGAAATCCATAAGAATTACATCTTTAAAACCTTATTTGCTTCAAACTTAAATCCTTTAATAGAAATCCTTAACCCAATAACAATGGCTCAAGACCAGATTTGCAAAGGCTATTCAAGTCAAGACTAAGAAATTTGTAAGAATATGCGGTTGTATTTACAATGCTTAATAAATGTGTTCTGTCCTACAAGAAGACTTAAGCTAGAAAGGTTGATGTAAACTAAAATTGAAAGATCTAGGCGTAATAACTATAACTGACATTGAAAAGGAGATTTAAGGTCACTCTAATGGACTCAACCAGGCTACAATGGCTAAATAAATTTGCAAAAACTATTCAAGTTAAGATAAAGAAATCCATAAGAATTACATCTTTAAAACATTGTTCACTTCAAACTTAAATCCTTTAATAGAAATTCTAAAGCCAGTAACAATGGCTCAAGACTAGATTTGCAAATACTATTCAAGTCAAGACTAAGAAATTTGCAAGAACGTGTGGCTATATGTATAATGCTAATAAATGTGTTTTGTCCTACAAGAAGATTCAAGCTAGGAAGTTTGATGTAAACTGAAATTGAAAGATCTAGGTGCAATAACTATAACTGACATTGAAAGGAAACTTAAGGTCACTCTAATGGACTCAACCCAGCTACAATGGCTAAATAAATTTGCAAAAACTATTCAAGTCAAGATAAAGAAATCCATAAGAATTACATCTTTAAGACCGTATTTGCTTCAAACTTAAATCCTTTAATAGAAATTCTAAACCCAGTAACAATGGCTCAAGACTCGATTTGCAAAGACTATTCAAATCAAAATTAAGAAATCTGTAAGAATGTGTGGCTGTAAGCATAATGCTTAATAAATGTGTTCTATCCTCCAAGAAGACTTAAGCTAGAAAGGTTGACATAAACTAAAATTGAAAGATCTGGGTGCAATAGTTATAACTGACATTGAGAAGGAGACTTAAGGTCACTCTAATGGACTCAACCCAGCTATAATAGCTAAATAAATTTGCAAAAACTACTCAAATTAAGATAAAGAAATCCATAAGAATTACATCTTTAAAACCTTATTTGCTTCAAACTTAAATCCTTTAATAGAAATTCTAAACCCGGTAACAATGTCTCAAGACCATATTTGCAAAGACTATTCAAGTTAAGACTAAGAAATTTGTAAGAATGTGTGGCTATATGCATAGTGCTTAATAAATGTGTTCTATCCTCCAAGAAGACTTAAGCTAGAAAGGTTGACATAAACTGAAATTGAAAGATCTAGACGCAATAACTATAACTGACATTGAAAAGGAGCTTAGGGTCACTCTAATGGACTCAACTTGGCTACAATGACTATATAAATTTGCAAAAACTATTCAGGTCAAAATAAAGAAATCCACAAGAATCACATCTTTAAGACCTTATTTGCTTCAAACTTAAATCCTTTAATAGAAATTATAAACCCAGTAACATTGGCTCAAGACCAGATTTGCATAAACTGCTCAAGTCAAGATTAAGAAATTCATAACTTCATTGTTAGCGGATTCACTCATGAACATATTTGTCAATAACAATGGCTCAAAACCAACTTCCAAGAAGCTTGATGGTGCGGACAGTTGGAAAATGTAAGTGACCATTTTGCTGCCCTAATCCCAGTGAGAAAAACTGCTTCATAGCTTAACTTATGGTACTAGTTCTGGTTTTCTTTCCCTCATGAACATATTTGTCAAATATTTTCCAAGGTCATTTCCCATGGGGAAGGGGGTAGAACATAGAATTTTCGGAGATCTTACAGAAATTTTAGTTAGTTGGTGTTTGTACCCTCTATTTTCCTGATATGATATCCACTTGGTAATAGTCGTTTTGAATTTTCCCTTTTAACAATATTTGACTCAATCAATCACACCATACATCCTAGGGATGTGCAAGCCCTGTTTGAATATTTTTCCTACTGAAAAACACTAATCTCGTGCCAAGATTATGTGAAAACCAAGGAAGTGGGAAGAGTCAAACCACAGTCGGCCAAATTGATTGATCGGTCAGTTTTAATCAATTTGGCCAATCAATCCGTTGCAGAATCGTTCTCATTGCTCACTGGTCTGACCGTTTTGACTGGATAATCTGGTCTAGTCTTGAAAACACTTATAATGTGTGATTATCTCTTAGATAAATCAAAGTACATTCACTTGTTCTGTTTATGAATATTTTATGTTATATGTGAAAGAACACTATAGCTCACTACTATTTTAAGATTTGCAACAAGAGTTATGCCTACAACTTGTAAAGCATACTGATTTCTCAATATCCGTGTTTTAATTTAATGCCACATTATTATGCAACTTTTATACAATTACAAAATTTTAATTTTACAGTATGGATGGTATGGATTAATTAAAGTGAATGGATAATAATAAGGTTAAAATAAGAAAAAAAAGATTTGTTTACCTTGAAAATTGAAAAAATAATCATTAATTTAAAATAAATTTAAAATTAAAAAACGATAATTATTTTA